TGAGTGACGTAGTGTGAAAACATTCCATTTTTTGAAATAAGGTGATTGACAGGTCGTACTTGTTTACAACTCCGGAAGGACAATTGGAATCTACCAGTTGTGCTTGTTATTTACATAACAAAGGATGTTTACAATTCCGGAAGGACAATTGGAATCTACCAGGTGTGTTTGTGATTTACATAACAAAGGATGTTTACGATTCGCTGACTTGCCTATGTGAGACAGCTGCTAGCAAGTCCACATTCTGATTGGCTCATGTGGACCCATAGGTGGTGTACCAATAATTGGCTAGACTGAGGACAGTTGGGGTTCATCATTTCAAATAAGGACCTTGTGTGTAGCTGCTGTGGTATTGTGAGACAAGCGATACAGGCTTCAACCATCATTATGTGAGACTTGTATGAACTGTCTGCGATTTCCTGCTTTCAGTGGTGCCCTCCAGAATAACAGCGCTCCTATGTAAATTCCTATATTTCGTAGTCGATTTGTTGCAGGAGCCATTGACTGCCATCAATTTATGCTTTGTTTCTTGTAATTATTTTGAAAAGTATTAAAGCCAGAAGCTTTAACTTGATATTTTGGTGTATGTGTATTTCATTTCCAGTACTATTGTCTTGTCTACCTTATTCTAGCAGTGATATAACTCCCTGTCCAGTGTGAGTTCTGTTGGTGCCGCTCTCAATAGCAATAAGCAGGCCTTACCCTGTGGTAACAGTCAAGTGACTGTTGGGTCGGGTGGTCAGATCAAAACAACCAAGTCACAGGTGGGTTAGGTGGCTAGGTCAGAACAGCCATTAGACTAGTGAGTTAGATGGCTAGGTCAAAACAGCCAAGTGACTAGTGGGTTGGGTGGTCAGGTCAATACAGCCATGTTACTAGTAAGTTGGGTGGTCAGATCAAAACAACCAAGTGACAGGTGGGTTGGGTGGTCAGATCAAAACAACCAAGTGACAGGTGGGTTGGATGGTCGGTCAATACAGCCAAGTGACTAGTGAGTTAGATGGCTAGGTCAAAACAACCAAGTGACTTGTGGGTTAGGTGGTCAGGTCAATACAGCCATATTACTAGTAAGTTGGGTGGTCGGTCAAAACAACCAAGTGACTGGTGGGTTTGGTGGTCAGGTCAATACAGCCATATTACTAGTAAGTTGGGTGGTCGGTCAAAACAACCAAGTGACTGGTAGGTTGGGTGGTCGGTCAATACAGCCAAGTGACTAGTGGGTTAGGGGGCTAGGTCAAATCAACTAAGTGACTGGTGGCTTGGGTAGTCAGGTCAATACAGCCAAGTTACTAATATGTTGGGTGGTTAGATCAAAACAACCAAGTGACTGGTGGTTTAGGTGGCTAAGTCAAAACAACCAAGTGACTGGTGGGTTAGGTGGCTATGTCAAAGCTACTAAGTGACTGGTGGGTTAGGTGGTCAGGTCAATACAGCCAAGTGACTAGTGGGTTAGGGGGTAGGTCAAAACAACCAAGTGACTGGTGGGTAGGTTGGTCAGGTCAATACAGCCATAATACTAGTAAGTTAGGTGGTCAGATCAAAACAACCAAGTGACTGGTAGGTTGGGTGGTCGGTCAAAACAACCAAGTGACTTGTGGGTTGGGTGGTCGGGTCAATACAACCAAGTCACTGGTGGCTTGGGTAGTCAGGTCAATACAGCCAAGTTACTAATAAGTTGGGTGGTTAGATCAAAACAACCAAGTCACTGGTGGTTTAGGTGGCTAAGTCAAAACAACCAAGTGACTGGTGGGTTAGGTGGCTATGTCAAAGCTACTAAGTGACTGGTGGGTTAGGTGGTCAGGTCAATACAGCCATGTTACTAGTAAGTTGGGTGGTCAGATCAAAACAACTAAGTGACTGGTGGTTTAGGTGGCTAAGTTAAAACAACCAAGTGACTGGTGGGTTAGGTGGCTAAGTCAAAACAACCAAGTGACTGGTGGGTTAGGGGTTAGGTCAAAAACAACCAAGTGACTGGTGGGTAGGGTGGTCAGGTCAATACAGCCAAGTGATTAGTGGGTTAGGGGGCTAGGTCAAATCAACCAAGTGACTGGTGGCTTGGGTAGTCAGGTCAATACAGCCAAGTTACTAATAAGTTGGGTGGTTAGATCAAAACAACCAAGTGACTGGTGGTTTAGGTGGCTAAGTCAAAACAACCAAGTGACTGGTGTTTTAGGTGGCTATGTCAAAGCTACCAAGTGACTGGTGGGTTGGGTGGTCAGGTCAATACAGCCAAGTGACTAGTGGGTTAGGGGGTAGGTCAAAATAACCAAGTGACTGGTGGGTAGGTTGGTCAGGTCAATACAGCCATATTACTAGTAAGTTGGGTGGTCAGATCAAAACAACCAAGTGACTGGTAGGTTGGGTGGTCAGGTTAAAACAGCCATATTACTAGTAATTTGGGTGGTCAGATCAAAACACCCAAGTGACTGGTAGGTTGGGTGGTCAGGTTAAAACAGCCATATTACTAGTAAGTTGGGTGGTCAGATCAAAACAGCCAAGTGACTGGTGGTTTAGGTGGCTAAGTCAAAACAACCGAGTGACTGGTGGGTTAGGTGGCTAAGTCAAAAACAACCAAGTGACTGGTGGGTTAGGTGGTCAGGTCAATACAGCCAAGTGACTGGTGGGTAGGGTGGTCAGGTCATTACAGCCATGTGACTTGTGGGTTAGGGGGCTAGGTCAAATCAACCAAGTGACTGGTGGCTTGGGTATTCAGGTCAATACAGCCAAGTTACTAGTAAGTTGGGTGGTCAGATCAAAACAACCAAGTGACTGGTGAGTTGTGTGGTCAGGTCAATGCAGCCAACTGACTAGTGGGTTAGGTAGCTAAGTCAAAACAACCAAGTGACTGGTTGGTGGGTTGGGTGGTCAGGTTAAAACAACGAAGTTACTGGTGTATTGGGTGGATAGGTCAAAACAACCAAGTGACTGGTAGGTTGGGTGGTCAGGTTAAAACAGTCAAGTGTCTGGTAGATTAGGTAGCTATGTCAAAGCTACCAAGTGACTGGTGGGTTGGGTGGTCAGGTCAAAACAGCCAAGTGACTAGTGGGTTAGGGGGCTAAGTCAAAACAACCAAGTGACTGGTGGGTTGGGTGGTGAGGTCAAAACAGCCTAGTGACGGGTAGATTAGGTGGGTATGTCAAAGCTACCAAGTGACTGGTGGGTTGGGTGGTCAGGTTAAAACAGTCAAGTGTCTGGTAGATTAGGTGGCTATGTCAAAGCTACCAAGTGGCTGGTGGGTTGGGTGTTGAGATCATAACGAAATCAAGTGACTAGTGGGTTATGTAATCAGGTCAAAACAGCCAAGTGACTAGTAGGTTGGGTGGTCAGGACAGAACAACCAAGTATATGTTGAGTTGGGTGGTCAGGTCAATACAGCCATGTGACTAGTGGGTTAGGTGTCCAGGTCAAAACAACCAAGTGAATAGTGTACATGTTACATGTAGTAACACAGCAAATGACAACTCAGAAACAGGGCCATTCATTGAGAAATTGGATAATATTTCCTTCCTTTTCCTCTCACATATTCCCTTGCTTGTGTAAACATTTGAAGCATTACACTTGTAGCATTTATGATGTGATATATTGATATTACTTTTATAAATACTGATTAACAATAACAAATATTATGAAGATGAGGTGTCCCAAAGCATTCGATCTGGCTAAGCGAGCTCGTGTAGTCAGTGTGTTTTTGTAAGAGTTTCTAATCGTTGTCACGGTAACATATGACCAAGCTACATATATTGTAATGTAAGCATCGTAAGCATAAATACATTTTAAATAGTGTTAGAAATGTACATTTACGCGATACAATAGGAATCGATTCATTAAAAAAA